GAAAAACAAACAAAAAACAGAAAGCACCCTCCCAAAACACTAAGCAATATGGATCACTTTCTCCAACTCCATGTCAAAATTTGATCATTTTGTTTAAGTTTAGGAGTCTAGTGGAATCCATTGTCTTTGGAATCAAGTTACAAGAGTCAACTGAGACCTTCAGAAAAAAACTTTCACTTTTGGATTACAAAGAGACACATTTAAACGGAGATGTTTCTCTCAAAAATTTAAAAAAAAAAAAAATGAATGCTAGTAAAATATTTTTTTAAATGCAAAGTGCTTTCTGTAGTAACTGAAAGTCCCCCAACCCTGGATACTATTTTTTTTCACTGATAATTTTGACATAGAAAGTCATGTGCAAAATAAAATCATTCACCTAAGCCTTCTTTGGACACCTTCTACATCAAAGCCAAGAGGACACAAGGTGTCTTGGGCATCGTGACTGTCATGATGAGGCTTAGAGCCTATTGAAAGACTTTACATTTTAATTTATGTGTGTGAATACATTGCTATGATTCTCTCCCAAAATGTCTTAGTTTTAGCCAATCATGAAGGTGCACGAAACCCAGAAGATGGTATAAAACATTTCTTTACCTTTCCCATTGAACCCCGTATTAGCTCATGTAAAGCCTACTCAGTGTGGTGGACTCTTTGCTCTTAGTTGAGAAGGGATGAAAGATGTAAATGAAGGGAGAAGAAAAATTTTATACAAAGTGAAATATAGTAAGTACTATGCACACCGCTCAGACAATCATAAGTACATAGGAACTCAGAGGACAGCGATATCACTGGAAATCTCATTAAGCTTTTTTGAGATGCTCTGGATTTTAGATTTGAAAGAAGAATGAGAGAGAACAATAGAGAGGGAACGTTCCAGGAAGGAGGGTGTTTCTGAACAAATGCTGAGCAACAAGAGTTTCAATCTAGGATATGCCATGATGGAGAAGGTGGTAAGCGCATTAATGTGATGGAGACAGCAACGATCCAAGTAGGAAAAACACCTGGGACAAGGATAGAAAAGTATTCTTAGGCTTATCAGGGAGGGATGAGGGTGTCACACCAAGAGTAACCGTTAGAGGCAATGGGAAGCTATTAAAGAAATTGAAAGGAGTGACATGAAAAAAGCAATGGTTTAAACAGACAAAATGGCAGCATTTCATTGCATATGTCCAAGGGTAAACCATCGGCTAGGAAACCACTGCAACAGTCCAGATGTGAAGCAACAAAGACTCAAACTAAAGTCAGGCCACTGGTAATATAAAGGAAGGGATGACTGTAGGTTCAGAAATAAGGAGAAATCCTTGTCCTGGCTATGACTGTGGTTGAGGAAGGAATAGCCAAGTAATGATGTCAAGCTTCTCAGTCTTGGTGTCTGGCCAGAAACAGTAATTGAGGCCTACATGGGTTAAAAAACTTGACCAGGCTCATGTTTCATCGATGGCAAGGTTGCATTTAGATATATGGGATCTCAGTTTAGTCTTCCTTCCAGTACATCATGCCACCTCATGCATATTCATACAAAGCTTTTGAGTCTTGACATTTCATCACACCATGATAACTCTGAAATCATGCAGCACATGTAGCAAATAACTCTAAAATCATGTGGCACAACAACAACAAAAAAGCAGTATTTTTCTATCTCCCAAGTTTTCATTGAAATGAGGACATTTTAATTAATTAATTAATTTTTTTTTTTTTTGAGATGCAGTCTCACTCTTTCACCCTGGCTAGAGTGCAGTGGCACCATCTTGGCTCACTGCAAGCTCTGCCTCCCAGGTTCACGCCTTTCTCCTGCCTTTCTCCCGAGTAGCTGAGACTACAGGCACCCAACACCACACCTGGCTAATTTTTTTGTATTTTTAGTAGAGACAGGGTTTTACCATGTTAGCTAGGATGGTTTCGATCTCCTGACCTCGTGATCTGCCCACCTCGGCCTCCCAAAGTGCTGGGATTACAGGCGTGAGCCACCACACCTGGCTGAGCACATTTTATAAGAAATTTTTCCAAATTCTAGTATGATTATTTATAATGTCATAATTACAGATGTTTTTTCTAAGTAGAAATTCTGTATGGTAACCCATTCCCTAGAGAGAGTAACCTCTCCCAACTCCTCATTCTTCATCGATTCAAAGGTTCTTGAGAGCAGGGTTCCTCAACCTTCACACTATTGACATTTTGGCCTGGATGACTCTTTGTTCTATGTGTGGGGCAGGCATTGCAGAATATTTAGCAGCATCCCTGGCTCTACCCACTAGATGCCAGTAGCAACCATCCACCCCTAGTTGTTACAGCCCCAAATGTCTCCAGACATTGTCAAATGTCCTTTGGGGAACAAAATCACTTCCATTTGAGAATCTCTGCCTTAGAGGTATTTTATAAAACTTACATCAATGAAACTATCATTTCCATTCAACAGCTCTCCTAAGTTCTGTCTTTGGATGGTGGTTCTCTTGTATGTGTGGGTGGGGGTGTTGGAGGAGGGCTGGAAAGATAAGACTCAATCACCAGTTGCCAAGTTTCACTTTAAACTTCCCCTTCATGGGGGTATCACTGCATCTGGAGCCAAATGGAAGGGGACTTGCTTAAATGGAGCCCAAAAGTCTTCTGTGGTCTTTAAGAAACACGTGGCAACAAAGTGCTTTCCATGAACCCACTTTTCACTTAGAGTCAACTAAATTCTTTTTTAGCTATTTAGAAGAGATCTGGTATCTCAAAACAAACAAAACTGCAACCATCTTCAGCAAAAGTTAATATCTGAGTTATAAGCCCTCTAGAGGAGGGGACAAAGCTGAGTTCCCTCTCCAGAATGACCCTGGACTATAAGCCAAGACCAAGGCTATGGCCCTTTAATCTGAGAAGGACATGCCTCTTACCATACTCTGATCATCTGCCTCATATAGGCAGGCCTGCGAGGGAACAAAGTAACTGACGAGACATAATGTGCCATCAACGATACATTCTACAGCTTTATCTTTCAGATTCATCAGGAATTGAGTAAGAAAAAGAGACCTGTTACGTTTAATCATAAACTGACAAGACATTTGTATTTATGTGGCAAGAAGTTACATCTGCCAACCAGGCTCCTGTCTTCCTTAAGTAAAAGCTTCATGTCAGCTCTTCTGTTTACTCAATCGTCGGCTGCTTTCTGGTCTCACTTGCTTTACTATATATTTATATTGAAAGAATACATTCTCAGCAGCTTTTAGGCTCTTAAATGCATTTCAAGAGAAGACCAAGTCCAATCACTGTTACTTAATTAACACAATTGTGAAGACTTCAATCTAGCCACACAATAGCTTTCCTGACCTTGCAGAAGGAGGCAGGACTTCATTATTGAGTATATTGTTTCCTATAAACATATAAAACTCCTACAATAACAATCCCATCAGCCGAAATGAAGTTATCTGAGAACAGAATTAAACTCTAAATGACCTTTTGCTCTACTCCGTAGCCCCCTATTAATAATTTCTAATCTAATCAGTGTGGATAAATGCACTAAGGCTGGTCATGCCAGGCACTGGGCCAGCCCGGCCAATTGCCGTCCATCTGATTCATTCCAGTCCAGAGCTTGTCTGGAAAAGACGCATCCCTCGCTGAGAGGCCACTGCCTGATTTCCTCTTTTGTTATCTTTTAGCAGCAAAGTCATGTCCTTGTAACTGATAGACACGTTTCTTTGTAAATAACCCTGGAGTGACTGATAGAGCTTTTGCCAGACAAAGGCAGCAAATAGCAAGGCATTACTCATGCCAAGCCAGAGAACACTGTGTCACGGCTGACAAATTTATGGGAGATATGAGCTCACCTCTTGCACAAATATATACTTTCCTGGCAAATTCATCACATGCTTTAATGGCCCCATACTGCATTTGTCAGCTGTCTGTCCCTGTGCCTTGTTGCCTTTGGTTTCCTGTCAAGGATTGTTTGTTGAAATCATCTTACAACCCCATTCTTCAGCAGTGAGACCCAAGAAAGATCAATGATGACACCTGTATTGATAATATTTTACATTCAACTATTTGGCTGATAAATCATTTTAACAATGCTGATATGTTTATTGAGTGTCTGCCGGCATCACAATTTTATGGAAAGCGATGCCAACTTAAATCTTGGCTTTGTTGGTCTGGTTTTTCTTTCTTTCTTTTCATTTTCCTATAATTAAGTGTGCCATAGTACAGGTTTTACTTCCCCATGTCAATCGAGAGCAAGTGAAAACAGGCGAAGGGGTGACCTTGCGTTTCCACTCATTGGTTTGTTTTTTAAAAAGGAAAGAATGGCAGCCTGGTGGTTATTGCTGGTTAAAAAGGTAGTTATTAGAAGGGAGAACCAGGGTGTTTAGGGTTCTGGTAATGTTCTGTTTTGTGACCTGGGTATTGGGTTCAAAGATATGGTCATTTGTGAACATTCTTTCAACTCTATGTTATAATATGTGCATTTTTCTGCGCATACATTATAGTTTAATAAAAAGTTGAACAAAGATCAGCAAACGGATTACATATACACATGCACACATACATTATGAATACACAGGCTCAGAGTCAGTGTTTTCTACCTTGAGGCTTTATATTACCTACAATCCCTTAGGCTTCTCCCCGGAAATCTCACCCATCTAACATGGAAATTACATCCAATAAGCATTTTATAATTGATCCTCTTAGCATCATCTCCACAGAATTTCAAAGAAAATCTTAGGGTTCTCAAATTTCTTAGCCTTTACCTCGTCTTTAGGATACTTTTGACATGGACTCCTGGGTCTCTATGAAAAAATGGAAAGAGACCAAGGCATCAATAAAAAGAGATAAAATTCTCCCTTGGTTTCTTACTCAAATTAACTTTGACTCAAGTCACATGCTCAGTCTATGTCTATGGAGACATTCAGATACAGGTAAATATTCAGACGAAAAGTGGAAAATCCAACCACCTGTATTGACTTACCTGTTGTTGGTGACACCTGTATGTATTGGCTTTTTGGAAGCCCTCAACAGACATTCACTTTCTTGTCTTTGGGCAGAACTGTATCATATGGCACCTCCAGTTGCAAGGACATCTGGAAGACAGAATATTTAGCTTTTTCAGCCTCTGTATTAGAGACTGGTAATGAGATCCGCTTTGGGAATGAGCGATGAATTGGCCAAATCATAGTTCTAACTAGGTAAGTGAAAGCCACAGCAGTCCAGGTGAAATGGAGATACAGGAAAGTCCAGGGCAGAGTTGTTTAAATCAGTGGTTTCAACCTTGGATGCTCATTGTAATCACCTGGGTATCACCCTCAGCAATTCTAATTTAATTGGCCTTGGGTGTGGTCCAGCATCAGGATCTTTAAAAGCTACTGTAAGTGATTCTAATGCACAGCCAAGGTTGAGAGCTACTGGCTTAAACAGATAAATATCAAGACTTATATCCTCAAAGAAAATAGCAAAGGTATTAGATATCTCACCAGCTATTATATCAAAGATTAAACAAAGGCTTTTAAGAGCTTATATCTGGAAAAGGAGTGAGAGTCTAGAAAAAAATTATCCCCCAATTTTGCAAACACTTGAGTGACAAACGGGCATTAGAACATTAACAAGTTGATTTTTAAAGTAATACGTTGATTAATTAACACTCACTCAATCTAATAGTTGGAAATATTCATAGAAAAAGCAGGCAGTTTCATCTGTGTAATTAACTGGAAATACATCTAAGCTGCACCCCTTCCCAGTGGGGGTATAGTGTAAATATTGACCTCTCGTAAAGTCTCAGTTTTCCCACTTATAAAATGGGAGAAATGATTGAACTTACCTCAAAAGCCTTTTTGTGAGGAATGATTGAGATAATCTGGATGAAAGGGTTAAATGTCTGGCACGTAGTAACAGCTCAATATCATCATTGTTCTTGGTCTCCCATTCAGCAAGCTCATTTACAAGCATTCATGTCACCTACAAAGAATTAGCAAGAATTGGGTCTGAAAAACACCAAGGTGACAATTTAATTACTGTTATATGAGACTTGATCAACTACTATTCAACTGTCCAGGGGTGAAGTATTGTAAAAGAGATATAAATGCTGCTTGAGAGACTTACGTTAGATATGATTTTAAAAAAAAAATAGTTAACTATGAAGGCAATAAAACATGGTAAAACGTTAGTTGAAAAAGCAATGGTTTCTCCTCAGAAAGTCTGCTTTAATAGGAGATATTTTCATATTTCTAGAATAGTCTAAGCCATAGTGTGGTAAATAAATTAGCTTTCAACATCCTTTTTGGTCTTTATGACTCAATCATTACGACTCAAAGATATAAACTTTGGAAGATGAAATTCAGATTTCAGTTGAGAAGCAATGCTGTTTCACTTCCCTGAGAGAATTGTCTGGCTTGTGAAATACTACAGAAAAAGCTGTATTTTCTCCAGAAAATGAAAGGTAAATCATTTTGGCCTGAGTAAATCAAGGCAGAAAACTCACCCCCATGAAAGCTGCAGCTCTGAGAGTGTGGGCAGGGTGAGTGTCGCAGGTTTAGGATGCTTGGCCTGCCCTTGGGACCCCAGCTCCTCCTTTCCAGCATGTTGCGGTCCAGAGTTAGTTCATACCATCCCAGATGATTTGGGGGTTTGCTTCCTCACTTCAGGCACTCTTTAAATAAGAGGGCTTGTCAGTGGCTCTTCCGTCTGGCAGAGAGTGGGTACTCAATAAATATTTGTTGAATGAGCCTGATCATTCTGATGAAAAGAGACCCCTTTGTTCTTTTGGGCCATTGGGTTTACCATTTACTAAACGGCCTGTGGCTTCCTGGTCTGACAAATTTATAGCACCTGTTTATGTCTTTCTCACCCACAGGCTTCAACAGAATACCTGTGGCTGCACTTACAAAAGGCAGCCAGAAGGACCCGTCCATTCTGGAAAGTACCTTTGGTCTGAAAGGTACAAATCAGAACTTTCACCACATTCCATCTGGCACTCACTGGTGGCGCCAACACCTCGAAAACCCTGCCGGGGCCATTTGTCACCATGTGGACACAGACAGACCACCAGTGAAAGTGGAATTTTTGAATGAGCTTGAATGACCTGCCTATATGTGTAGACAGCCATGGTCACTTTTTCTCCGTAGGATTAGATGTGCTGATTCTAATGTGGTTCACATTATGCTATTTTCTTTTAAAAGTGAAATTTCTTTTGGAAACCTGGACATTTCTAAGATGACTTCACATCCATTCACTCTTCTTGCCTTCCAAAACAGCTGCTCACAATCTGAATATTAGATAACACATAGCAAAAACAAACCTCTGTTATTATTATTATTACTATATTATTAGGTTTCTGTAGAATCCCAAGGAATTCTGTAGATAATGTAGAGTAAGCTATTAGAAGGAAATCATTATTTTCAATGTGGTTCATCCCATGGAGTATGGATTGAGAATCCCAGCTCTGTCTTTCCTGGAAATGGATGCTAGTTCTTCAGAACAGTGAGTCTTCTTCAAACAGCATAAAATAATCATTATGACGTAATCAGCAGTAGGAATAAATGTGTTACGCTCTTGTCATTTTTCCCTAGTGCATTTCCAGGTCTCTATCAGCAGAATTGGAATTACTTCATCATTTTCAGCATTTCTTTTTCCTTTCCAGTATTTACTGCAGAAAAAATATGGGGCTTGCTGGTAATATTCCCAGGTGACAAATGTGCACCCAACACCCTACAGAAAAGAAGAACCATAAAATAATGAATTATTCTATTGTAACTCCTGCCTGGAAAACAGCTGGTATTTAACATCACATTATGCTTCATGTGGAGTGTTGTGAGTCATCTTCCTTATGCACAGATCTTGTCTCCTCATTTAGATAACAAGCTCCCTGCGGGAGGGGAGACCACCATTTATTGCGAGCAAACCTTAGCCCATTACATATTTTATTCTCTGTGTTACCCACACCCCACTGAGGTCTTTACAGATGAGGGAAGTGTAGGAGGTTTGAGTCATTCTTCCAAATACACACAGCAACTGGGTAACATTCGGCCCCACCCTCAGCTTGGGCTTGTCAGTGGAAGTTTGCTCAGCAACAGAGACCAGCATCAATAATCGTGCTCAAGAGATTAGTATTATGAGCCTGGTATTACCAGAATGTCTGTTACATGAGTACTCCTGAGACTTCTGGAGTCAACTGTAAGAATAGCCTCGGAGCTTGCAGTGAGCCGAGATCAAGATCATGCGCTAACACTCCAGCTTGGGCGACAGAGCGAGACTCCATCTCAAAACAACAACAACAACAAAAAACAAACAAAAAAAGACTAGCCTCAATTTTAAATATCAATGTTGTCTCAAGCCCCGATTCAACATATTTTGAAAAACCCAGTGTTCTCCCCTCCTATCCCAGTATTAATTGACTGATTTAAACTAAAAATATATTGGGTGCCTTTTGCGTGCCAGGCATTATACTATTTGTTTAGGAGAGAGTGCGAAACAAGACAGAGGAAGTCTCTACTCACATTGAGCTTTCATTCCAGCGGAGCAGTATGTTATCTATTATGGCATAACAAAGCACCCCCAAACTTAGTGACTTAAAATGAGAAACATTTACTGCTCTACAGTTTCTGTGGGTCAGGAATCCGGGTGTGGCTCAGTTGGGGGCCTCTGACTCAGGGTCATAACGTTACAAGGTATGAGCTGGAGCTATGGTCATCTCTAAGCCAGCTGGGAGGGGACCTTTTTCCAAAGTCACTCACACAGCCTCAGGTGTTTACAGGCCTCAGGTCCTTGCTGGCTGTTGGCCAGAGGCCTCAGTTCCTTGCCACAAGAGCCTCCCCATAGGTTACTCACAACATAACAGTTTGCAGCCCCTAGAGCAAGGACCCCAGAGACAGAGTGAGAGAGGGCAAGAGAAGGCAAGATGCAAGTCACACTCTTTTTGTAACCTAATCCCATCACTTTTCCTGAATTCTACTCATTAGAAAGAAGTCACTAGATTCAGCCCACATTCAAGATGAGAAATACCAGAAGACAGAGAACATTGAGGCTGTTTTAGAGGCTATCAACCCCAGGAAGACAGACAGCAAATAAATAAGTAAATAAATAAAAATGGAAGATGATAATAAGCGCAATGAAAAGCAATGAAGCAGAGTAAAGAATCAAAAGTAGCGGTTGAGGGTCGAGTATGTTAAGTAGGATGGTCAAGGGAGGTCTTATTGTAAAGGTGACATGTAAGTTAGGATCTGAATGACGTCTGGGAGCCAGCTATGCCAGCATCTGGGCAAAGAGCTTATCAGGCAGAGGAGACACAAAGTGTAGAAAACTGAGATGGGGAGGAGTTTAGTGCGTAGGAGAAACAGTAAGGTGGCCAGTGTGGACAGATCAGTGGGAGGGAAGGAGAAAGGTGGAAGAGAGGAGGTCAGAGGGGCAACCATGAGCCAGGCTGTACAGGGCTTGCTCAACCATGGCAGAGAATTTAGAATTTATTCTGAAAGGAATGAGAAGCCATCATGATCAGATTTACATTTTTAAAGCTCACCTCAGTTGCTGTTGTAGAGAAAGGATGACAGCAGGGCAGCAGAGGGAAGAGCAAGACCAGCTGAGAGATGACCACAGAGGCCCTTATGAGATGGGAGCTGACTCACACAAGAGTAGAGGAGTCTCAGGGGCTCATTTGTCTCTAATGCTCTTCTACTCTAATAGTCTGCCCTCTACCCAGTGTCTTGTCTCCTGTAACCATCTCACCACATAGGTTAACCCCAGTGTGGGCTGCCACCTCATCTCCTTTTAATTCCTCTGCCAAATGATCGCCAACACAAGGAAGTATACATAGTGAACTCTACTTAAGTTCATGGTACCCCAAGGGGCTCCTGTTCTCAGAGCAGTGCAGCAAACAATTTAAAATGTAGTATCAAACATTGCCATTATAAAACAGCTTGGCCCATGCCCCCACCATCCCTGATGACCACCATGTTGCTAAGCCAGCCTCTCTCCTTTGATCTTGTAGCGCCAAGCTTCCAATTTTTCTGAGTCCCTCATCCCCTCTTGCTCTCAGGGATTTATTTTGCCTTTATTTTGCCTCCTGCCTCTAGATCTTGACTTGACGTTTCACTTTTCACAACCAAAATACCCTGTCAAGGTGTTTTGCCAAACAATATCAGTAGCAAATACATTTTCCTAAGCAGGACGCTTGGATGTTTTCACACCACTCTGACACATGGATGGAAGGTTAGAAGACAACAAAGGGATGCACTGGGAAGGACTCCAAAAGTGGAATCAGAGATTATATCATTCCTTAGAAAAGGAGAAAAGGATCAAAAAAGCTGAATAAAAGGTAGTCCCAGCAACGACGTCTCCTTGTGAACAGACTTTTGAGTATTTGGCTTTGTTATCCCCCAGAGAATACAAATGCCCCTATGGACACCAAGGTCATAATAATTCCACTTCTCCCATCCCCCTCACACCCTTTGGCAGCCTCACATGTTCTCATTACAGTAAACTCAATTCTTCAGAAAATTTCAAGAAAACTAAGTTGCTTCCTTCTTCAACTGTTTACGTTCATTTTGACTTACTATATGACGAGTCTAGGTACCCATAGTGTTCAGATTCTGCCAATGATGTCATACTTCAGAAGTATGGAAATGACTGAGGAAGAATTAATTTCTGATTCATGTAGTAATAAATTGAGGCTTATTGACTTGAACATTACTTTTGCCAAGAAATTTTTGCTGCCAGAGTTTATTTACAGAATGTCATCATTTTTCCAAAACATTATTGCTTCCTTTTTCAGACCATGCCTTCTGACTAGAGCAGGTAATTTGGGGAGGATTTACACATAATTATAGCCTGAATCCCTTAATTTATAAAATTGCATAGTACTTGGCTCATTAATGGCTGTTGAAAATGCTAGTCTAGTAAAATCATAAGGAGGGATTTTACCTGGTGAATTTAGTTGTTGAAACCAAGTTGGACCCATTCCCAAACATACTCTGGAAACAAACGGTCAGTCTATTGGGAAGGCACTGCCCTGAATGGATGGGCAATCTGGTGTTATGGACTGACCATCGTCACCCACTGGACTTGGCATCATCACCAACCTCTTTACTCAACTCCTTTCGAACAATTAAGAATTCCATTGAGGATATTGACAAGATTCCAAAAAGCAATAAAATTACATAATGTAGACCTGGTATAGATAGAGGATTCCTGGTAATGACGCTGGGGCTTTTTTCATAAGCACATAATAAAGTTGTGACCTGGACATAAAATACTCAAGACACAGGGAAGCGCTCCCCCATAGTCGCAGGTGTCCGCAGCTACCTATCTACTTTGTCTTGTTCTCCCACCTACCTCAGGCCCTGACTTGAGACCTAGTGAAAGAGGTAGTCTGAATTGTATGGAAGAATGCAGAAGTAAAACTGCTAACTTAGCTGATTTCTATTCATAAAGTTTGAGGGAAGGCAGAGTCAGATTTCAGGGGATAAAAGAGACTGTTGTGGCCCAGACTGGACTTTAGTTCCCTCTGTGATAATTGTGCTTTCTTGTTTGTGTGTGTTTGTGTGTGTGTGTGTGTGTGT